AGAAACGCCAGGGTCTGCGAAATGGAACAAGTGATAGATGCACCAATGAGCCAACAAAACTTTGCACAACACCACTAGGACAGGTGTGAAGTTACTTTTCCCCAAGGATTAGGAAACGTAATTGTGAATATACAGACTGAGACACGTGCAAACACGTAAAGACTTATGCAGATAGGAGGTATGCACATCTAGCACTTGGGAATAAAAATCCATTAAAGCTCCATATCTAAACAGAAACACAGAAGTTTTAGACCAACTGTTGGGAAAAAAAAAAACAAAACAAAACAAACAACAAAACAACAAAACAAACCAAGCCAGAAATGGATGAAAAACTTGTCACACTTGCTACGTTTCCCAGGGTGACAGGTACTGCTGTGGAAGGAAAACTGGAAATTTATTGCTGCGACACACTATACGCCATGTAGCAGACCTGAAGGCTACTGGCCAGAAATTCTACTTTAACTGTGTTCATTTGTCACACAGCAGAAAGAGCACATGGATTCAGAGCGGAGATCTAACTGGAATGCAGGATTTGGATCACTCTCTTACCAACACCCAGGCTTATTCCAAACGTGTTGTACTTGTAGTCCAGTCTCCTTAGGTGGTACGTCCATCTAGAACTGTCCCCACTGATAATAACTTCTGAAGCCATTGGCCAATTCAAATCCGGTTTCAGAAAGGCTCAGAGAAAATCATGTTCCATTAAAAAACGGGCTGGACAGAGTGAAAAAACAAGAGTCTCCTTACAGCAACTCCTTACAGCAAAGAGTTTCTTGACTAAGAGAAGGAAACCAGTGTCAGACCTGGTGACTCACGTGAGAGGGGGATGAAAACGCACCCCTTGTCTTAAAAAACTATCCCCAGAACCCTGGTGTAAGATCATCCTGTGGCTTAAATGACCCCCAGCACCCATCCAGCACTAAGAGAACCCGGTAAAACGGCAGTGAGGTCTCACCGTGCACTTAAATCTATTTCTGGAGCCTCGTTTGGAGCCCTAAGCCAAGGCCTCTTCTACGCTGGCCAAATTCAACACTAATTTCACTTGTGGGTACAAGTAAGGCAAAACGGGGAAAAGACCGTTAAGAATTACCGTGATGGAATGCCACTGGCAGAACCTGAAGCATGCAGCTCCCATTCAGAAGCCTTCTTGGTAACCTACAAATACACGTGATAGCTTCTTTGACACACCTACGAAATGAGACACAGCACAGGATAACGTTTCTTCCTAAGAATGTCACTTATTTTTTTGATATATATGTGCATATATCATAACGAGGCAGCACGTGCAATTTGAGAGTTGCCAAGACCCATCTCTCCGGCCGTGTTTTCTCTTCCCTCCAGCTACAACTCCTGTCCCAGGGTATGAACCGAGCACTGAACCTTCTGCAGAGACCAAGTACCCACTGCCAGGATCCCAGTTCCAAAGGCAAGAGATTCCCTTCAGCAAAAGTGCAGGAAACATCCCACCCTGCTCACAGAACACCTTAAGAAGGACACACACACGTAGTATTTGTTACACGTAGCGGCCCAAGCTGGGCAACGATCACCCAGTTCTCATCCTATTCCAACAGAGGTTTTCTCAGTGATATCACCATTATCTTGACCAGTCTAAAAGCTGGTCATGTTTCCATAGATGATGAAACCCATCCTAGTGGAAGATAAACCTTCAATCCAATAAATTTAGCTGGATGAACAGTTCTGTGTACTGGGTAAAACATTCCTCCCGGCTCTTTCCACTCCTGATCAAGCTGTATTCCGCTGCCAGGAGCAACCTTGGCTGAGCTCTTTGATCACTGCACACACTGATTACCCATTACTAAACGGGAGAATCATTAAAAAACCTTAACAGCTAGTCATTGATTATGCCTTACTACAGTAATGGCCTTTCTCAAGGAGTTAAACATATCACCCTTTCTTTTGTGTCAAGATTAGGAGATGAAGAGAAACTAATCATTTACACTCTGTGTAACTATGAACACGTGAAACAGAACTACTGTAAGATCACGACTACCTTTTCTAAGGAGATGCCTTAAAATTTCATTTGTTTCAAAGTAAATAAGTAAAACCCACAAGCTCCCATTTACTAGACCTCTTCCTGTGGTCAAACATACACCTGCTCACTTCAATGATTATCACCCACTTTTGGTATTTTGTCTTTATTTAGCACGGCAGAGCCCACCAAGTTATCTTTTTGTGGAGTGGGAGCTGGATTCTGTTCTGGACCAGACACGACGAACAGAGCAGTTAACCAAATCCTGATCAGAGCATCTCTCCCGCTGGTAATGCTTGAGCCTGCAGAGCTCAGTTTGACTCTCAGATCCCACACTGAGCTTGCAGCTGGCAATTATGAAGAACCCCAACTTTCTATTTATGAAGTGAGACTATCGGAGAGAGAAGCCACTGAGAAACCACAGCCATGGAACCCCATCAAGTTACTGGTAGGATCACTCGCAGATTAGAGCCACGAAACACCTCAGAGCAAGTGTTTACACTTTGTGCCATAAAATACAGTGGGGAAAACAGTGGGAGGAATCTAGCAGGCCAAAAAAGATGACATTTGTGGAAATATCTGCCTCCAACCACTCAGTTCCTAACCTTGCAGGATTTCAAAGTCCATAACTTCTTTTAGCACACCAGCTGCTTCCACTTCAGAAACGGTGACAGCAGGCAGTGCGAAAATGACATGACTTGGAGACAAACCAGTTTTATTTAAAAACAACATTTATATATATTACACACAATATTCCAAGTTAAAAGAACATTATTTAAAATGCTAAGTCAAATATTCAAAAGTTAAGAAATTCCAGAATTCAGATCGCCTGTGCAATCTTAATTTGAATCTCTCGTGTTATGCAACTCGCTACTGCCTTCGATGACACGATGACGTATTCTTTTTTCCACAGGACCCTTTCCTCATTCCTAAAATTCTCAGTTAATGAGCAGCTATTCAGAATTTGGTTTCTTCTTGTTGTGCAGTGTGCAGCCCGTTTCTGATGGCTTGCCTGCACAGCGGGGTACTCAGAAACACCTGAACAACTCCCTGATCAAACGCTTTATTACAGAACAAGATCATTTCATCTCCGCTCACTTTAACCCACTTTACTTCACTAAACTCAGAGATCATATCATTCATTTATTAATGGCTTTTCTAAGGTTCGCACTACTAACACGTTTTTGACAAACTTATGGTCCCAACGCTTCCGTTTCATCTGGACTGACTGGTGAATGATTAGAAAGTTTCAGTGTTGTAAAAGTATTCATTAATTTGGGATACCCAATTCAGAGGAGGAGAGCACGCTTTTTGTAGACTACTTAACATTACCTAGTGCTTTAAATGCTAAAAACTCGGGTCCAGCTGCAGCTCTAAGCACATGGTGCTGTTGCAGATCAGATAGTGCCTCCAATTGAGTATCCAGAAAATGAGGAACGTTTAATGAACACTTCAAAAAAGGTTTCGTTTGCAGCAACGTGGCATTAGAATCTCAGTAGTAAAGGCAGAAGTTAAATCGAGTTTTCCAAGGCTGCATTTAGCTGCATTAACAATCAGACCTACTGATGTGGTTATCAACAGAAGAAACAGTGCACATGCACCCAGATCCACGGACCCGAAAGCCTCAAGTGCCAGACCAGAAAGACAGAGGGAAGAGAGGGAAAAGGACCTGCAGTTACTGGGATGAGGGGACTCAATACTCTCCTCCCATCAAAACCGATGTCAGACACCCTCTTGTATGTCAGCCACCCTGGTGAACCACCTCCTTTTTCCCTGCACTTTGCATCATTGTTTGGCACATACTTCCAAACTTCTGCAACCAGTGAAGCTGTGTGGGAGAGTCAAAGACTTTTTCACAACATAATCTGCCAGACTTCCAGTTTACCAATAAACTCGTAAGCTTTATGTGGACCAGTGCAAGAAGGGCTGAGACTGTCAGTGGGCTTCACTTGTTTTAATTGGGAAGAAAGGCCAGGGGTCTCTGATTCCACACCAGGGTGTGGAGGGGCACATGTTCAGAGCCTGCTGCCTGTTTCCTTCAGGCCCCCCTCCTTTCCATCGCTGCCAAACTGTCTCTGCTCCAGTCCAGCCTTCACATCTGATTCTTCATCTTATTTTCCTTACCAGACACTATCAGTGTCCACGTTCCTGTTCCAGTCTCTGCAGTTACTCCTATATCAGCTCCAGGACCCAGCTGCTTCCCTCCCAGATCCTCCCCAACCAGTTCCTGCCCCATCTTGGAGAAGCACATTCCCTAAATGACATTCTCTCTTGGTAAAGCACATCTTTTCCACTATCCTTGTAGGTACTGGCTCCCCAACCTAATCACCCTTTCCCAAGTCCTTAACCAAAGGCTGTGTTTCTTCCCTCCCATTCCTAGTCTCCTTGCTGGAGTCAGTCCTGGGCTGCCTTCACCTCCCCTCCAAGTACAACTCAGCCTGCCAAAATCCACAGTCGTAAGTCCTAAAAGACCCCTTCTGATCCAGGCCTCTGACAGTCTGTGGAGACGAAATCTGCAGGTGCTTGGGCTTAAGGGTAGGCTGTCCTCATTCCTCTAGAAAACCTTGTTTCCTGGTATTGCCCAGAGGTAAGATTCCTCAATTCCTAAATTCGGGTTCTCCCTTCAGCTGCCTTCTGAAGGAGGCTCTCTCTGCCATGATTTGTGGGACACTGCCATGTCTATCTTCACAGGACAACTTTAACTTTTCTGAGCAACCCACAGGCTGTACTGCACTTATAACTTGGCCAAACTCAGGTACATTTTCATAAAGAGGAAAAAAAAAAAAAACTAATGATGACAAATTCCACCACTCCATCAGCTTTCAGTTCTACACTCCAGGACGAGAAGCACTAATCCCTTAGAGGAAAACACTAAAACACCCCAAGACATACCCAGCTGACACGGCATTACGTTTGGCAAATCATCCCCAAACAATCACAACTGAAGAACAGAGCTTCACCAAAAAACTCGAGGAAACCTCAGGAAAAAGAACTGACTGATGATAATTAGTCAAGTGATACGAGGTCTTGCCCTCAAACGGACGATGCTTTTCTGTTTGTACGTCTGTCTCCAGGCACCGAGGTACGGAAACGTCTCGCCAGGGATCAGGAGAGCAGCGGGTACAGCGCAGGGTACAAAGGCCACGGCGTGGCACGGAAGAGGAAGGGACGCTGACCTAGTGGGAATGAGAGTGAAAGGAGAAGAGGAGGCATACGGATCTTTTGGCATGGGAAGAGAGAACAGAGACAGATGCACAGGAAGCGGGAAACATGGGGGTGCTGGTTGCAGACTGTCCCTAAGTGTAAGGAGAGAGGATGGGCTGGGAAGGAGGCACACCTTGCTGTGGGCAGAAGCATCTAGCAGGAACAGCTAGCTCAGGCTTCAAAAGAAATTATGCAAGTGGCTGGAAAACAAACACCCGGCTGCTCTCCAGCAACCTCAGAGAATTCAGGTGTTTTCAGCCCTCTCTGCACCTTCTCAAACGCAGACTCCTCCTGGGCCAGCGCAGTCAGCACGGGCACTGCGGCACTACTGCAGCCAAAATGTTAACACCGTTCTAAGTCCTAATATATTGATGTGATGGTAGAAGCGGGATGAAAAGATGGAAAAGTTGAGTTCGTAGCAACCAGTTTAGTCCCTTTTCCGGTAGTCCCATCCCAGAAAGCAGCTCCCTGCAGAAGAGCCCAGCTCTGATGCCTCCTGGCTGGCCTTCCAGGCAATTTCTAAGAAAGAAAATGAGAGAGGCTGTTAACCTTAGGTCTGCCAACTGTTGAACAGGGCCTTCTTATGCTCCAAAAGCTGCTGTATTTCCATTTGAAAAGAAAATCAGAGGTGGGAAGAACGAACCTCAGACACAAAACACAGGAGGGTACGTATAGCACGTGGAAGTCCACCTACAAGAGTGTGCATCTGTTTCATGAGTGGGAGATACTGCCCAGGGACACGATTGGTGTTTAAATTTAACTAGTGCTCTACATGAGGCAAGAGAGGCAACAAAAGAAAATCCAAGAAGTGACAAGGTTGATGCTGGCAGAGATCTATTCTGGGATTACTCAGGGTCATTTCAAAGATCACGTTGGTTTCTTTAACAGTCCTGACCTCTGCAACTCCGCAGTGTAAAACACCATGTACCTATCCTACCTGCATTACAATGCTCTTACTATACTTCACGTTTCCAGAATGTTCATTATTTGATTCAACCTGTTTCGAGGAGATTTTCTGAGCTGGTAAAAGAAACACATTGGCTCTCTAGTCACTAGTGCTTAGGCCAGAAACTTATGTAGATATACACAGAAGTCGTTGACCTCAGTGAAAAATAGATTTATATCACTGTTGCTGAACGAGATTTATTCCTCACCTCGCAGACATAAAACCAGAAATGTTTCATGGTAAGAAAACAAAAGTTGCTGCACAAAATCAAGCATGTTGTCTATGTAGCCCAGTGTTCTGACACTGGTCAGTCCCAGATGCTTTTAAAAATGCTTTTACACTTACAGAGAAAAATTTAATACATCTGCCCAAAAGCGTATTTCCTCTTTACATGTGCTAAGTAGCGTGTGTCTTACAACCAGAGGCCACAATAAAAATGTCCTGCCTATAATTATGGATGCTCCCATCCCCACATGGACTGACACCTTTTTACTGACATCTTTCAAGGCTTCCAGCCACAGCACATGCTTGCAGCCATGAACTCCACAGAATAACGTGCTAGGTACAGCAGCAGTTCCTTCCACTAATATTATCTGTAACACCTTTCCATTTCACTGGATTTCTCCTTACTCTCAAAAAATGGCAGAGATTTAATTCGGAATTTCTGACTTACTTCCTCAGTTTTATGTATGTTATACTCTCCTACCATCCCTCCTCTCGCCTGCCTTCTTTCTGGAATAAAGAATTCAGGGACTGTCAGTATTCTTCAGGAGCCATCTCATAGATACCCCTGTACAATGCCAGTGGAACAGTCTGACAATTCCCACCAACAATGCCTCTGAAATCTCAAAACTCGTTCCACGTTTTATGATCAGGCTGCGTTCAATTAAAATTAGTGATACTGATGGATGCTGCAGCAGCACGAGGGTAAGCCACTTTTATATTAGGTACTCACCCAGGAATAGACTGCTAACTGATTTTTTGATTAAGTAAATTTTGTCTCTCCTAAAGAAATAAAACCTTCTGATTAGGCTTGAAGCGAAGAAGAACAACGTACAAGCTCTGAAACCTTTTGCATAATGTGATATCATTTCATTATGTCTGGCTATAAATTTTGCTCTTCTCCTGCAGTCAATATTTGTACCTTTACAAACGAAGAAGAATTCGATGGCCTGGCTTTGATGAGAAACTTTGCTTTTAATAATTCTTTTTTTAATGCATGTCTGCTCAGTTCTAAATAAGGAAAGTCATATTCCTTTCTCACCATGCCAAGGTGAAATGATGACCCACTGCACGTAATGGACTTGTTTCAATCTCTACATAATAAAACCTTGACAACAATATAGGCAGAAAACATTACCTTGGGAGTAATCTCTTTGTATCGCACACGTACATTACAGTGGTATCTCTGATGTGCTTTAATTTGTCACTGTTTGTAGTTTACATTTCTAAGACAATCTGGAAGCCTGAAAAATTACTAATTATAACATTTAAAAGAGAAGCAGCAATGGAAATGTCAACAATCTGACCAGGACATCAGAGATTTTTGCCATGATGAATAGGGAACATTTCACTGCAGACTGGGAAAGAAGCTTTGCTCCATTTTTCAAAGCCTGAAGAACTTCTCAAGGAGTTACAAACATTCATTTTTCTTCTATGTCTTCAATTACTGTCAGAACATACCGTGGTCTTTCTAATGGCTCCCATAAACTCCAAATAGCTTTCACTGTCAAGAGAGCAGAAGCATAAAGATACTTTGGTCTCGGACCTACTGAAATCAACGGGCGTTGGGCATTGGTGGGCCACTGCTGATTTGCATCTGTGGGCTTAACCATGATATTTATTGAAGCACTGATTTTCTGGGAAGTATGAGTTTTCCTGGATGAGACAGGGCTATACCATATAACTACTGTTCCTGTAGTTGGTCAACAGTCCTCTGACACAGCCATCATCTTCCAACTGACTGATACAGTTTCTGATCAGTTATGAGCCTGGAAATAAAGATTCAGGAAGAGGCATATTTGAGAGCATGAGAAATTTTAGTGTATTAGTCATACTGGGTTAAGAACAAGTATTTGAAAAAAGATTCAATGTAGCATAAAAATATATTAGAACGTTTTCAGACACTCCTTATTGGCTTACTAATGAGCTCATAGGCAAAATGTTGGGGAGAGTTAAATATAAATAAAAATGGAGGAAAAACTACCCTCACACTAATACAAACTGGTAGAAATTTGTGTTCTCAGGTCTTTGCATATGTATATGTATGCATATATATAAATATGTATGTACACACACACATTATATATAGCTTTTTCAGTTGACATAAGATGCTCCAGCAAGAAACTGTGCATAAAAAGAAATAGAAGTTTTATGAAACGCTAAGACAGAAAACTTCAGTTGGTAAGAAAAAAAGATCCTGGGGATGAAAATATAAGTAAGGGTTAACCAGACCTGTAAAAGCATTTTCTAGGCTTGTTATCTTACCTTCCATTGCTAGCTGGCAATACAGAGCAATTATTTAAAAATAAACCCAAAGGTAATATCTCGAACTATACCTACAGAGGAATGGATGGCATCTCTGTCGAAAATCAGGCTCTGCACACTTGCAATGGAATTTATACCTAAAGGTCAGTCTCCAGGTAACAAAATCCAGGTTCTCTTCAAGCCTAGCTCAGAAATACACCATTTTCGAGCCTAAAGCAGAAGGACAGCTTCTAGCTGGGCTTGCAGCATGTCTGTATTGTAGTAAAGATGTAAAGTGCTTTTTCTCCACTCCATTGATTTGCCCTATAAAAAGAACCAACTGCAATTGCAATTCTTCTCCCCTCCAGCGTAAGCGGCGCCTCCGACTCCTTTGGGAGACCCGCAGGAAGCCGGGAGCCTGGAGCAGGCCCGGGTTACCCCTCTGCACCCCAGGCTGGGGAAATGAAAGAGCGTGAAGTTCTACTCCACGGATAGAGAACTGCACTGCACGCCAAAGGATTCCGAGCTGCGCATTCTGAGCTACGCTAAGGCGAAGGCTGCTGTTCTCGGTGTGATATCCTGATGGATAAAATCCCTAATCCAGAGGCACTTCCTTAAGAAGTTGCCAAGAGTCAACGTTTTGACTGTTTCAGCCTTTAGCTGCCAAAGCTGGTTAATTTTTCTGCAAATCGAAGGACTGTCACTCTGTAGGCAGGTGCTGCTGTTTGAGTCAGTTTTGGGTGCGCAGCAGACGAGCTCTCCCGCGGTTTTCTACGAAGAGGACACGTCAGGCCTCTTGGCTTTGTTGTGGCAATCCATTTGGTTACCAATTTCCCCTCCTCTGGTATGATCTTCTGAGAACGGAGCTTCTTTTGGGCAGGATGCTTCTGTAAGCAAAGGAACAAGACAGCCTACTTTGCAAAGCTAATTTCTTTTTAAAAGTGTGGACATGAGGAAGGTGGCAGAGGGTGGGATGTGACTTAAAAGCAGATGGAAACGCAGAAGAACAGTTGCTTAGCACCTATAAAAGTCAGGCCCACTTCTTCACAAGATATGTATGCATTTAGGTACCCATATTTAGGCATCCGCATTTGAGTTGTGGCCTCTGAATAACCTAAAACAATCACAGGTTTGGAACGTGCAGCTGATTAAATAAACGAAGATATTAAAAGTCCTAAGAATCATGCTGCAGCCCTGGCAGCAATCAGCTCTTCAGCACTCGGGGGCTGCTCTGTATTACCCCCGCTCCTGTTGGGAGCTTTGGCATCTCTTAATGAAGGAAAGGCAGAGATCAGGAAAAGGCGCTGTAGAAACTTCATTCCACATTAATTTCTCAGCCACTGGGACAATAAGGGAGCAGCCAGCAGCCCTCTCGCCTTTGTCTGAGCAAGAGATGCAAATTAAAGATTGGAGGCAGAGGCGATTATTCAACCCAGACTATTTTATGTGGGCTTATGGATGTTTTGGAATGCGTCTGTAGCATCTATTTCTCTGGGAGTGAATCGATACAACACGGCAGGACGGAGCCAGACAGCATTTCAGAAACGTTAAAAAAAAAAA